CGCAATTTCAGCCATCTGATATTTGACAAAAGTGCCAAGAACACACAATGGAGGAAAGACAGCATCTTCAACAAATGGTGCTGGCAAAACAGGATCTCTACCTGTAGAAGAATGAAAGCAGATCCTTATCTTTCACCTTTGATAAAAGTCAACTCCAAATGGATCAAAGACCTCAATGAGAAACTGGAAACCCTGAAGCTATTAGAAGAAAATATTGGCAGTAACTTACAAGACACAGGTGTAGGAAAGGATTTTCTAAATCGGACCACAGTTGCTCAGGAATTAAGGTCAGCAATCAACAAGTGAGACCTCATTAAACTAAAAAGCTTCTGTACAGCAAAAGAAACAAGCAAAACAGTGACGAGAAAACCCACAGAATGGGAAAAAGTCTTCACCAGTGACACATCTGACAGGTGTTTAACATCCAGAATATATAAAGAACTCAAAAAACAAAGAATTGAGAAACCAAATGACCCAATTAAAAGATGGGCTGAAGATCTAAACAGAGAGTTCTCAAATGAAGAAATAAAGATGACTAAGAAACATCTCAAAAAGTGTTCAACATCGTTGGTAATTAGGGAAATGCAAGTTAAAACCCCCCTAAGGTATCACCTTACCCCAATCAGATTGACTAGGATCAAGAGAACAAATGATACCAAATGCTGGTGAGGATGTGGAGAAAGGGGAACGCTCATTCACTGCTGGTGGGATTGCAAACTCATGCAACTTCTATGGAAAACAGTGTGGAGAACTCTTAAAAAACTAAAAATGAACCTACCATATGACCTGGTTATACCACTCCTTGGCATGTACCCAAAGGACTCATCCTATTGTAGAGACACTTGTACAACCATGTTTGTTGCTGCTCTTTTCACAATAGCTAAGAGACAGAAGCAACCTAAGTGCTCCTCAACTGACAAGTAGTTAACAAAAACGTGGTATATTTACACAAAGGAGTTCTATTCAGCAGTAAAGAAAGATGAAATTATGAAATTTTCAGGTAAATGGATGGATCGAGAAACTTTTAC